GGAAGGGAGGAAGGAAGGGAGGGAGGGGGTGAAAAGAAAACTCCCACTTGAAGATAAGTGGCTCTTTCTTTAAAAGCCAGAAGGATCTTAAAATCACGGTTGCCGTCTCGGAAGACATCAGAGACCGATTGTATCGGCAGAGAAGGTTCTCGTTACACCTGTGCGTACAGAGGGCGCAGCAACCGCTGGAGTCCAGGGAGATCGGGAAGGAAACGTGTCAGTTTGGGACTCTGCATGTCATTATGTGGGCTGACTGTGCGGGAACAGCACGCACCGGCGCGCTTCTAGGGACAGAGCGGTGTCGTTCACAGGTGAAGGGGATTCACTCAGGGGAGGCCTCGTCACCCCTGTCGAGGGGCTTTGCTGGCCCCAGTGACGCCCTGGCAGTCAGCACCAGGAACCCCCAGCATGCCTGCGCCTGAGCGGGCCCTGTGTAGCGCCGCGCGTGCTGCCGAGTTGCCGGAATGTCTGCCAGAGTGCCGTTTCCCTCTTGTCAACTCCACGGCTGTCGTTCTGAGGCCGCACCTCGAGACTGTTCCTCCTGTTTCCTTGCAGCGCTGCTGAAGTTGAGCCCATAGAGGTTGCTGTGGTTCTCCCGGAATCACGCACAGATGCGACGACACCGATAGCCAGCGTCTCTCGGGTACTCAGTAGGTACTCAGCCAGGCGCTCTTCTAAGGGCTTCACGCAAACAAACTCACTTGTCCCTGTAAGGTGATTGCTACCATATTGCTTGGATTCTTCAACGTGCTAATATGTTGCGTCACGTTTTGGCATCTCTCTAATGAGAACGCACCTTGCAGAGGAGGGTCTTTTATAATGGCTGCCGGGTGACAGTCACACTATGGTTGTCATTGCCCGTGCACGGATTTGGTTGGAACTATCCACCTTGTGGCTTCAATTCCTTGCCTGGTCAGGAGTGCCGTGTGCTGTCTCTTCTTTCTTAATGGTTCATAAAATAATGGCATCTTGCAGCGATGGGCGTGTTAGGCTCAATGAACTACAAATTCATCGTCTCTGTTTTTAACATAACGAACTAAGACACGAATAGTGTACCAAAATTGCCCAACTGCCCGGTGACTGGTGGGGCTGGAATTCACACCCAGACACGCTGGTTTCCCAGTCTGCGCCTCTGACCACCAGGCTGTCCTGCCAGATGCGGTGGAATGGGGCCACAGCTCACCCACGGGGTCTGGGTGAGCCCCAGCCGACGGCCAGAAACACTTCCCGTGGTAGTTATTGATTATTTCTCCAAAAGAGAAGAGCCTCGATGAATTATTTAGCGGTCCTTATGAGAAAGCTTTATGCTCGGCGTATTTCCAGCCCACGCTGTGGCGTTGACCTAGGGATAGTCGGCATCTCTGTCCGTGGGAACAGCCGTCGTAGACGCGGCCGCGAGGACAGGGACTACCCAGATGCCACTCTCGAAGCCACTTCTCCAGGTCTCCCTCCCTCTCTCGCAAACAGGGCCACAAGCCCGAGCAGAACATAGCAGATGGGATTCGCAGTCCAGCAATGGGACTAGTTAATGCCATGTCTAGTCGCCATCATTTTTAACTAACCACTTTGCTCACCGGCCGCAACACCCTGCCCACAGCCGCACGCACAGTCCGCACAGTGGTCTGTGCTGCGCGTTGACGACGCGTCCGCTTTGCTCTTGTGTGGTGAGGAAAGCTTGAAAGCACTGAAAGCTCGTTTCACTTTACAGGCAGCTTTACTTGTCACGTCAATCAGAATAGGTAACATAGACATGTATGTTTTCATTACGTTATTTTAAAATGTTCACAACTTTATTTTGATAAATGAAAACTTAGACAAGTCATATTGCGGCTGTCGGCTACAGTCGATGCTCGGTTCATCTGTGGCTGTCGACTGTAGTCGAGCTCGTACCGAAGTGGTTGAGGACATGTTGGCGCAGGTTGGCCAGATCCCGACGCGGGGACGGTGCCACGTGCCAGGGAAGAGGACGAGGCATCGCTGCCCATGCCGTAGGGAGAGAGGGGACCCACAACGCCTGCCCCACTGCAGTGCGGCTGATTTTTGGTACTCTTTTTCTGCAAAAGGCCATTGTAAACACAGTTCAGTAAGGGGGTTTTATTACAAAATGAATAACTTTAACTTTGAATGGGGAGCTATTTCTTTTTATTATTATTATTCTTTCATATTATGGGAGTACAAATATTGTTAGGGTTACATATCTTGCCCCTCTCCCCTTCCCCCACCCTGCTATGCCAGAGCTTCTAGCGTGTCCAGCCTCCAGGTGGTGCAAACCGCACCCACCGTGTAAGTGCACACCCTTCCCTCCTCCCCTCTTCCCCCTGCTTTGTATGGAACCAGAGAAAACCACGTATAGCCAAAGCAATCTTAAGTAAAAAGAACAAACTGGGAAGCATCAGTCTTCCTGACTTCAAACTGTACTAAAAAGCAATAATAGTAAAAATCTGCCTGGTACTGGCACAAGAACAGAATCATCGATATCTGGAATAGAACTGAGATGCCAGAGATGAAACCATCTGTATATGGTAACCTAATCTTTGATAAAGCAGACAAAAATATACAATGGGGAAAAGATTCTCTCTTCGATAAATGGTGCTGAGCTATTTCTTAAGAAGGAATCATCAAGACTGAAGAAATCACGTCAGCTTTGCAACAACACATAGACGAGAGCTGCTACAGCGCTCAAGGCTGGTGAGCACATCAGCGTGACAGACGGTCCCCACCCCAGGGTGAAACCCATCGGGAGCCCTGCGGCTGGCGGCTGTGGCCAGGAGTCCGGAAGGCGCCGTCTGACCTCAGCTTTGGGTCAGTTTCGTTCACAGGAACACGGGCCACCCAGCTGTACACACGCGGCTCTGCGAGTGTCTGGGCCCGTTCGTTTCCATCCTAGTGTTTGGAGGGAACTTTTGGATCGGAGGCGATCAGAGCGCAAGTTCTAAGTGTGCCATTTGCTGCGCTATTTGTCCACGGCACACCGACCCTCACCCTAACGCCAACCTTAACCCTCCATGTGCCGCCTCAATTAGAGATGCCGTCACTCCGAGTCATTGCAGGAGAAACAGTTTAAACAACGGACGTTCCACAGGAAAACAACCAGCCAATCACTCTAGTATGAGAGAGCTATTGTGTTGGAGCGTATGTTTTTCCCAAGTCCTAACAGGCCAGTGCAGGTAAAACAAGGAGCCTGTTAGCAAGGTGTGTCTATCCTACCCCAAATCAAAGCGACTTAACTACCACTGCATAATATGTAATGCATGCCTGTAATACTCAACACTGCCAATTAAAAATGTCATGCTCACCTCGGCCCTTTCATCTGCAGATCCTAAAATCCTAGCGTCCGTTCACCCAGTGTGCCTGTGAAGTGGCTTTAGCTCTTGGAATTTGAGGTGCGTCTCAGAGCCACCATCTTCTTGGGGCACCGGGCCGGCTCTCGGCCACCGGCCTTCAGAACGTGCCGTTTGGTCTCGGCGGTTTCCCGATTCTCCGTGGGGTCTCCTTAGCGTCTCAGCCGTCTCACACGTGTTTCTTCTCTTTGCCTTTCCATGGTTTTCCGGCTCTCAGATTTTTTTTTTTTATTTCGGCATATTATGGGGGTACAGATTTTAAGGTTTCAATAAATGCCCATTTCCCCCCCCTCCCCCCACAAGTCTGAGTCTCCATCATGACCATCCCCCAGATGGTGCACATCTCACTCATTATGTATGTACATACCCGCCCCCTCCCCCTCCCCCCTGCCCAATACCCTATTACTGTAGTACCTATGTGACCACTTAGGTGCTGCTCAGTTAATACCAGTTTGCTGGTGAGTATATGTGGTGCTTGTTTTTCCATTCTTGGGATACTTCACTTAGTAGTATGGGTTCCAGCTCTAACCAGGAAAATATAAGATGTGCTATATCACCATTGTTTCTTAGAGCTGAATAGTACTCCATGGTATACATATACCACTTTTTATTAATCCATTCTTGGATTGATGGGCACTTGGGCTGTTTCCACAGCCTTGCAATTATGAATTGTGCTGCTATAAACATTCGAGTGCAGGTGTCTTTTTTGTAGAGTGTCATTGGATCTTTTGGGTAGATGCCCAGCAATGGGATTGCTGGATCAAATGGTAGAATCACTTGTATCGCTTTAAGATATCTCCATATTGCTTTCCACAGAGGTTGAACTAGTTTGCAGTCCCACCAGCAGTGTCGGCTCTCAGATTTTGACAAATCAGAATAAGGGTCAAACCCAGCCAAAACCTGCCTTTCTTTACAGTTTGCTCTGGTTGAAATGTTAGATTTTCTCACATGCGTGGATTTAGAGCAAATTAGGACCCGAAAGGAAAGACGGGTTGGGTCCGTCTTCTCTCTGCCTCACGTCCACGCCGCGAATCAGCCCGTCCACTCCTGGCTCGCGCGCCGCCTGCGGTCTCTCGCCTCCCTCTCTTGCGGGCGGCCGGCCTCGCCCCGGGTAGGCGTGCGGAGACACAGTTGGGTTCTCCTTTCCTCGCTCAGACGCGAGGCCCCGCCTGCACAGGGCCCCTGAGCGTGACGACGGGAGCCAGTGTGAGAAGGTACTATGGCTCCAGCCCCTGGAGTGTTTGCTCAGCGCCGCCCGGGCGGGTCGCCTAGCCAGACAGGTGGAGCGAACGGGCCTTAGATCAGCAGAGCAGCAAGCAAGCTTCGCGTTAAGGGACAAAGAACCACAGAGAGGCAAAGGAAGGCTCAAAGAAAGGAATCAGGCCGGGCGCGGTGGCTCACGCCTGTAATCCTAGCACCTAGGTGGCCAAGGCAGGAGGATCGCTCAAGGTGAGGAGTTCGAGACCAGCCTAAGCAAGAGCGAGACCCCATCTCTACTAAAAATAGAAAGAAATTATATGGACAACTAAAAAATATATATAGGAAAAATTAGCCGGGCATGGTGGTGCATGCCTGTAGTCCCAGCCACTCGGAAGGCTGAGGCAAAAGGATCAATTGAGCCCAGGAGTTTGAGGTTGCTGTGAGCTAGGCTAACGCCACGGCACTCTTGCCCAGGCAATAGAGTGAGACTCTGTCTCAAAAAAAACACAAGGAATCAGAAAGGGACTTGGTGGAGGATTGGAAGCAGACGGTGGGAGAACTGGATCCAAGAAGAAATGAGGACAGAGAGCTGGAGACAGTGAGTGCCAGGGACCATCGCAGCACCCATGCCTCAGATGGCCCCAAGTCGGACTTCCAGGGGAAGGAAGTTCACATGCCCGCGTCTCCTATTTTGCCAGCCGGTCACGGCCTCTGTCTCGCCATCTGTGAACAGATGCCCATGTGCTCATGGTGCCAGCTAGCCAACAGCCGTCCCTCTGAAGGGCCAAGTCATCTCATAAGAGTCGTGTTCTGGGATTGGCTCCTCATGGCTTGAGCATGGGTATAGACGTGAAGATAGCACGTCTTTGGGGTTCTGAATGCCTTCACAAAGCCTTGCTTAACGGATCAGAAAAGAAATTTTATACATTTTTTTTTTGGTTGAAGCTGCCACAAAAACTGTGTTCAGATCATCAAAACACGAGGATTTAAATGCGAGGCATCACCAGCCTGGCCTTGCCACCCGGCCGGCCATCCCCCCACTGGGTCTCTCCCGTGGACAGACCCTCCCTCTTCTCTGCGCCCGTCCGGCCCGAGATGCTCACCTATGGGCTGCAGCGGCTCCCGGGGAGCCTGGGCGCGTCGGCGGGCAGGAGGAGGCACGGAGGCCCCCAGCCTCCCCTTGTCCCCCTATGCAGTTGCCGTGGCCCTCGAGATTGGACGGCGGTCTCCATGCAGTGAGGTCCCTTCCTTCTGTGCTCAGGAAGCTGACCCGCGTTCGCCCCTGTAGGGCTGAGAGCCATGACAGCCTTGCTTCACAGCCCGGGGGCCACCAGCCCTTGGATTTCCTCACACTCTGGAATCCAGTCCCCTCACGACGCCGCCTCATGCCGTCTGGGGTCGGCACGCCCCCTTTTCCAGTGGGGACCATGCTGGCACGGCCGGCTTCTGATCGGTCCCGCCCGGTCTTGGCCTCTCCCATCTCCCGTTCCCCTCCCCCCACCCACCTCTGCCTCTCCACGTTGCAATAGAAGGTCCGAATTATTCTCACTGTAACAGATAGGGGAATGTTCCCCCCCCCGAAGCCTGGGAATCATCCGACACCTACGTGTTCCCAACAGAGAATTCTCTCCCTTGAAGTGAAGCTTATGCAAACTCCAAAGCATATTTTAAAAATATTCTCCCTTTTGTCACATACCCCTAATTCAAGGCATGAATAAAAAGGAGTAGAAAAAGATAATGTTATGATATTATTAGAGATTGTAGAGAATTATTAGAGACTGCCTATAGTAGTAGTGTTTATTGATATATACATATATATCAATATATGTAATTATGGGACCATGTAGTGAATTTTATTTTCCTTTTTCTACCGTCTGTCAGATGTTTGGTAATAAGGCTGTTTTAGAGTAACAAGAAATAGTGCTTAAAAAAACTAGGTACCATTTTTTAAGAGACAGGGTCTCGCGCTGTCTCCCGGGCTAGAGTGCAGTGCCGGATCATCACGTGGGCCACCGGAGTCGGCTGCCCCCTGGAGGCCACGCAGAACAGAAGCCACCACGCTGTCCCCAAGTGCATCCCCCTCTGCCTGGACGACTTGGGGGTCGGGGTCTAGCAGGAGTATCTGCCCCTGCGAAAACCCCACTCTCACTACGGAGAACCCGCAGAGAAGTAAGATGCTTACCGTTGCCGGGGAAACATGCCGCGTTACTCAGCCTGCCATCCTGGGTCTTCATCCACAAGGCCGGCCCCCCGCCGAGGATGACCGGGCGTTACGGGGAAAACCAACGGCATGAAACACGTTGCCTCCCTGTCTTCATCGGGGGAACAGGCAGACTGCTCCAAGGGGAAGCTGAGGTATCTCGAGAAAAACGTTTTAAAAAGAGAAGTTTTGTTTTGAATCCTAATTAACAGTAGGAAAATACAGAATGGATAAAACTGTTGCTTTGGAGGAAAAAATAAAAGCAGGACATAAGGAAATTTAGGATTATGTAAATAAAAGTTTCAGAGGATAATCTGGGAAAAAGTCAAAGGATGGGGCTAATTATCTCACGGAAGGAAAAGGCATGATGTCTCTTAGGATGTGCATCACAGATGAAAAGAGAGGACACGTTTAGGGGAAGACAGAGCCTTGACGGAGGTCGCGCAGCCAAGGTCCCCCCGCTGGGATTCCGTGAGAAAAGAGAGAGTGAAAGGGAAACCACCGAAGGAAGCGTTAGGAGGAAAGCAGGCTTTGCTGAGGAAACACAGGGGTCTTCAGATGGGCAGGCGCATCCCTCCAGCATGGGCAGGAGAAATGTGGAAAGACAGGGCTCTGGCTGCAATCTCACGATGAAGAGACGGTTCCGAAAGCCTCCGAAGAATAAAGCAGGTCACCCCAAATAAAGAGCCAGACTGAAGACTGGCCCCTGACAGTTCACCGGATGTGCCAAGCCCTTCGGGCCAGGGCGCAAAGCGTGTTTGCGTGTGTACACCTTAGGCTGACGTCCGGAAAAACACACGTCAAACCTTTGGGAGTTGAGGGAGAAGACGACTCTAACTTGCTATTGTCTTAACTTTTAAGGTGATCTTTTATTACTTTTATAATTAGATTCTTTTGAAAGAAAACATCAACCCTGGCAGCAGTGAATAGAGTTAATTGGAAGGGAGAGAGGCTCGAGGCTGCTAACGCAATTAGAGGGTTTTTGCAACAGCTGCCAGCAAGACCCTAAAGGGAAAAAAGCTACAGCAACAGAAATGAGGGACCGGATCCAAGGAACCTTTTGGAAATGTTTTTGATGAGTTGGTGAGTTATTGAAGTTAGGACTAAAGGAGAAAGAAACAATAAAGGTGATTCCTGAAAGCTTTAATGACTACCGTGTTTCCTGGAAAATAAGACCTACCCATAAAATGAGCCCTAGCAGGATGTCTAAGCATGTGCGCAATAGAAGCCCCACCCCGAAAGTAAGCCCTAGTGACGGGCGTGGCCACACATCGCGTCTGCACAACCCGTGCATGTCCTTGCGGAGCGGGAAAGAACACGAGCAGCCCTTCTCATCCGCCCCGTGAGAGCTCTAGTGCTCCACATGAGATATCGGGGCCAGTGGTTCTAAAGGAAACAGAGTTGCAAGACATTCAGGATGGGATTCGGGGTCTGGAGAGTGATGATGATGTTCCAGAAGAAGACGATTTCACTCTATTTGAATTAATGTAGATGGTTGTACCATACTTAAAAAAAATAACAAATGCCCTGAAAACAAGCCCTAGGGTGTCTTCTTGAGGAATAATAAACATGAGACCCTGTGTTGTTTTCGGGGAAACACGGTAGCTGGGTGATCACGCCATTCAGGTGGGAAAGACGGGAGACGCAGGCGCGCCGGCACTGGGACAGCCGGCACCGCGTGTGCGTGCAGGTTCGGGTCCGGGCTGCAGGGAGACCGTTCGGAGGCAGGGGCTTGTCTGCGGGCTGAGCCGTAGGGACCCCGGGCATTGACACGCAGGCAAGGGTCAGGATGGACTGACGAGAGAGCCACGGCAGCCGAGGGGAGACACGCTTGTGCCCGAGAGGCATTCAGACGGGAAGGGGGCCACAGAAGAACGTCTTCAAGCAAGAGGGAGGATTCACCACGTGGAAGAAGATGAGGGGGAAGAGTAGAAATGCAGGCTTTCCTATCTGACGGTCCCATCTCGCCCTTAGAAATTTCAGGTGAATACGTATCTAAACGGCCAAACACTCTCGCGTGGTATGTTGCGTGGCTCTCCAGGCTGTTGGCCTTTGGGCATCTCCTCTTTACCAAGGGGCTTTTCACACGCGTGCACGGCAAAGGGAGAAGATCCCTTTCGAGGCTGCACTTTACCTGGATTTCTGGGGGAAACCTGGCGTCAGGGAGGCCACCCCCCACAGATGGGTCTCCCGAGTCCCAAGCTGAGGCCACAGTCCGTACCCGGGAGTGCCGGGTTCAAGGAGAAGACGGCGCCGATGTCAGGGCACAAAGATCAAAGCCGACAGCGGCGTGACCAGAGCCAGAGGAGGGACCTGCAACACAAGGACATTTCCGCAGCTGCACCGTGCGCGGTAACTAACTCCTTTTCTCTCTCCAGCCGCTGCGCACCTGTCTCGTTAAAGTGGGCGGGCAAATCACCCGTCATCTGATAGTGTTTGCCACGGAAGAAAGTTCTAATCCTTTATAGTCCCAAGATCTATGGGCTACGAAAATACCCCTGTGGACATATTACTTTTCTAATATGTATTGTGATGAAAGAGAACCACGCATTTCAGACGCTGGGGTCGGGACATCGTGCCGTCTCGCTTCCCAGTTCTGGGTGCCTTCTGTTGAACACGTGTTCTCTTCTCAACCTCTCCTATGCCGTGACGCTAACTCACGTGCCTGGTTCTAATCACTTGCTACCTTTGAATTCCATCTTTTGACCGTAAACATTGTATCTTCTGGCTTATTGCATAACAGCCACAGAGACACAAATTGTGTCTTATTCTCCTTTTTATCCTCTGTAGCCCCTAGAACAGGGTACGAATAGCTTCTCTCCTGGGTTGTCACTGACTACATTCCTCAAAGGTCATGACGACCGAGGGTTGCCCGCGATATGGTCAGCCCGCCACGTCCTTGGGTCCACGTCCATGGACGCAAACAGCCGAGGATCAGAAATGTTTGGAAAACATGGTGTCTGTACTGAACATGTGCAGAATTTTTCTTGTCATATTTCCTGAACAATAGAGTATAACAACTATTTACATGGCATATGTGTGGTGTTAGGTGTTGCCAGGGATCTGGACACGGTTTACGTGCAGAGGTCATGTGCAAATGCTGCACCATTTTCTGTCAGACTCTCCAGCACCCATGGACTTTGGTACCCGAGGGAGGACCTGGAACCAATTCCTACGGAATACCGAGGAACAACTGTATGATTTCCCTATATAGATGTTTATACATTTAAAAGGCTTTTAATATACGTAAGATCTCTTGATTTTCCTAAGAATTAAATGGCTTCAATAGGAGAGAAAGTTTGTTACCACTTGATAGATGAGTGAAGTGAGGCTCAAGGAATCAGAGTGCAGATTTCTCGATTCTTAATGAGGTTCTCCTACTTTCAGACGTCTGGGGATTTTCTTCAGTGATCGAGGTTCAGAGAACTGGACCCACGTGTCCGAGGCTGGTGGTTCCCACGTGGCGGTGGCCTGGGCTGGGGGAAGGGCTGGGGCGTGTGTGAGCGAGCGCAGCACCTCCCGGAGGAGAGGTCGGGAGTGCACAGATGTCACCCTGTGGGCACTGCATGGATGGGAAGCGCGTGTGGCGTTCGGCGGGTGGCAGGGGGATGCTCTTCCATGCTGTAGACGGCACAGCGGGAGACGTTCCACTTGAACACCCAGAGACTCTGCAAGTCTAGGCAAACAAAGGGAATTGCAGCCGTCCCTTCAAATGGCTGGCAGTCTTCCCTTACAACATCCCAATCAAAAATTTACAAAAATAAGATGTCAAAAATCTTAGCCATTAATCTTTCTTTTTTTTTTTTAAAGAAAGAAGGTAGACTTAGGAATGGCAAGTTTCCAAAAATCAGTCTTACAGGAGGTAGCTGAGCAAAAGCAGGAATTTAGCAACAGTCCAGGCTCATATTTTTTCTACATAAAAATACAGCTATTACATCATCGCATAAGTAACCACATAAGCGATGCGATACGTAATTTACAAGATTTAAAGAATTCTGAGCACCTTGGTGCCAGTTAGAGACTTCACTTAATAAATTTTAACTTTTACTCCTTTACTTTTCTTAACAAAAAGGAGAATTAAGTGGAACCATCCAGAATCTTTTCTTAAGGTCAGCAGGTTTCTGCCCCTCTCTCAAGTGTTGGTTTTAATAATCTCATTACTGCCGACCTGGGTGTGACTCCTGCCTGCTGCAGGAGAGCCCCGACTTCTGCTGCCCCATCTGCCCGTCCTTTAGCCCAGATAGATTCCCTTTCCCTTCCAGCAAAGCAGAATGAAAGGAAACGGCGTGCTAGGAAGGCCTTTGTCCTCAGATTGCAACAAACCCTGTAACAAGTTTTTTGCAAGTTCATCTGTTAGGATAAAGATCTTTTGGCATCTAAGGCGTTAAGCTGCCCTCTACTCCCCTTCCCAGTATTACCTTCCTGGCATTATTACCATTTTTAAATACTTTAGCATCGAACAATCTTCCGAAACTTTAGCACTTAACAAATCGTCTTTACTACAAGACACATTTCTAAAAGAATATGCCTTTGCCATTTTGTTGTTCAGATGAAGAAAGTGGGACTGAGGAAATATTTCAGGCACAAATAAACAGCCCTCACCTGTAGCCTTTTAAAGTGCTAACTGTTGACAACAAAAAAAATTTTTTTACTCAGTCAGTAAATAATATCTTTTCAATGATCGAAACAATTATTGTACATAGTTGTCACTTAATAGTTCTAAGAATGTGGTGATTTGTTTTCTGCCCATCTGGTATACTGGAGCAAATTGTTCAGCTGTAATGCTTTATAAACTGACATGTTTGACTTTGTGTCTCTAATTAAGTTTCAATTAAGAAATCTTATAATTATAGCAACCAGCCAAGAGCAGAAATACCTCATATTGAATCATACTAACTCTAATAATGAGACTCTCGAGGTTTGGCATTTATGTTTACCTTAGATAGACGTCCAAAAATTGTGATGATTATCCAAACTCTCCAAACATCTTGAGTCTGCAAAATTTGGCTGGTAATCTTGTGGGAACAAGTTATTTTGCAAGAGACATAATGTCTGCTTCGAGTCCTGGCTCAAAGTCAGACTACAAAGGCGGATGAAAATGACAGGGAACATTTTATCTAAATAGTTCAAAGCTTCAAAATGGACAAAGGTTCATGGGA